CCAGAAAGGTAAAAACATCATCAAATCTATAGGGAGATAGCACTTTGAAATAAAAGTGATCATATAATAACCAACAAGCATTTTTATATAATCATCTATAAGATACATAGAATGTTTGGACTTTTGAAATATGCCAAAATAACAATGTTAAGGACAGTCTGCTTTCTTGATCCACTCTTTCTCTACACGTGCATCATAATTTTCTTCTGGCATCCTCATTTTCTCTCACAATTTGCCAGTATTTAATGTAGGAAACCCTTCATGATGTATTTCACTCTTTTTTAAATTAACTTGCTCCAAATAGCCCCAGTAGTGGTCTGTTATACTCCTGCTTCTGAACTACAGCATCCCCACCTCGCTTTAAGTCAAACCACTGTGCCTGAGCAGAGGTTCTCCAGCACCAGTGCAAAGGAGAGGAGTGTCCCCACCACCCACTTCACCTGGCAACATCATCATGTGTTTAAGGTTATTTTTCCCAAGCTCTGCCTGTATTCAGGGAAAGGACACACTCCTGCTGGAGTAGGAGTTGTTGCCAGCTCATAAGCAACCCAGTGCAGAAATACATGCACACCTTTTTTTGTAATAGATCACCTGCTCCCACCTGGAGAACTGGCAAGCACATCTCTCCAAAGCCTCTTCCAGACTCCTGTTTTCCTGTTGTTTCCCCTGTTTCACCCCTCCCCGCACTTCTAATCTTTCCCAGCCAATGTACAGAGCATACGGGGTATGTTCTGCTTCCCAGCACGAAAATATTTTGACTTTTCTGAATTCCAGTGATTCCATGGAGCTACTTTTCAATAATCTCCTCCCAAAATTGCATAGTACATAACAGCATCTGAATTGTATGGCAACAAATTCACTGCAATGTCCTCCTGATGTCTGGAAACAGGAATTCTTCATATTTCTTATCAAGCATTTTCTTAAATTTATGGCTGGACCAATTCTCCTAGTTTATACTCCCTGCAGCTTCACCTCAGCTACTGGCCCTTTGTTTTTTCCAGATGTTTCTTTTTTGACTTTCTTTTCTATCTGTTGGTGATGCTTACCAGTATCCCCAGCTTACTGCAGAAGGGAAGAGTTTGATTTTAAAGGTGGAGAACCAGACTTGGACAAGCAACCTCTAGAAAACCTCCCAGGTAAGCAGGGATATTTACCTTTCCTGAGATCTGGAGAGGATCCAAGAGCATAAAGCTGTGGATTTCCCCTGGTTCAATAGGACGATGGTAGCAGGGGCTCTCTGCCCTTCCCAAGTGGAGGAAGCAGCTGCCTGAGTGGTGGTTTTGAGGTAGTTGAGAAAGGGAAGCTTTGGGCCCTTCAAGACCACAGAGAAAGCTTTTCCTGAGAAAATGATCCTGTCTCAATCCACCAGGGCTATTCAATGCATTTTCACCAAAATCCACTTTCCATCATGCTCCAGATGAAGTACTCTACATGGATTTATGGTGGATTAAAACACTATGCACTGCTGGGATATGAGACACACTGCAATTCTGTAGAACATAACACTCCAATGAATGGACACGGGACAATTAATTTTTCATCGTGAAAATGCTGGCTTATTTCTAGTTCTATGATAACACAGTTTTGGGGGAGGTTCTCAAATCTTTTTGTTGCTGGAAAGCACATTCCTCCTTTGGCTCTCATCCTATGGGAGGAGACACGTAACGCGAGGGAGTGCTGTGAGCTGTCTGGTGGCACAGGAGGCACCGCAGCAGAAAGCCCCCTGGGTGATCAGTGGTCTCCAAGCCAGGAGGCAGCAAACTCTTGGGCAGGTAGGAGATCAGGCCCAAAGCAGCACAGTCACCACAGGAGCACTATAACACTGCAAATGAGTGCCTGTCGGAAAGAGGCACGGGAGCCTCAGCCAGATTGGTGCCAACAGCTATTTGTTTCTCATTCTTGCACAATGAGCTGAGGAGGACATCCTTTTCTGTTCACACAAACACGAAGAGGAAGGCACAACATGCCTTGGCTATTATGATGCTCATTTCCCTCTTGAAAATCAAAGTAAATGAGTGTCAAGAGGACACTGACATGCAATAGCTTCAGGCAGCAGCACGGCTCTATTTTTCTGCCAAGATGCCAATAAAAAATTTCTTTTTATCAGCATGGATTATTAATAGTTCTACAGTACTGCAGTAGTAAACTGCTTCTTTCTCCCTTTCTCATTCAAAAATACTTGGTTTTGTCACTATCATACCATTAAGAGATCATCATAAAATTAGAAAATGCTTATAGAACAAGGACCACCACATAACCTGCCAAAATATTTGGCTTGCTCTTTTGTAGCCATCTTATTCGTTCAACATCTTGGAAGATACTGGACCAAGATTACAAGAAAGGTGTTTGACATCCAGCAATTAAAAAAAATACTGTATGTGAAATGTACACTGTGTTTGGTATGATGCTTTATTGAAATAAGAGTAGAAAAACTGGTAGGTAATTATCTTTTTTTAGAATATTTTTCCTAATCCATTATAGCTGCTAAATGATTTTCACCAGCACAGTCCATGAGTCATTCCACCTGCATAATTTATTATCTGAGAAATTGCAGGATCCCTCTCTCTGATTAATTTGTGTGCACTTATCTCACATTGAGCTGCAACATTTGGGATGGGATTTTGCAAGGAGACACAAAACCCAGTAACACCCACAGAAGTACCATAATTCTGATGACCCATCCCAAATTAGCTCAGCAACTGTTTTCTGCATATATTCTTCATGTACACATGGCTCCAGGGGTCTTAACCCCAACCATAATGGTGCTATAGGATTCACACCCTCAAAAGTACCTCACACCTAACTTTGAGGATGCCAGTGAGAGGCTCAAAAATACCTTCTGAGCATCCTGGAAAATGTTACAGTGGCTTAATCTAATTAAGTGAAAACCTAGCATCTTTAAAAAGCTTCCCATTTTAAAAGGACGAGACAGAACCAATATTTTTCCCAGAATACAGAAGGGAAAAGATAGTAATGAGATTTAATTAATGTCCCTGTGTTCCCATGATCATTTACAAGTCAAAGGTATGCAACAGGCCAGGATACTCCAGGTTTGCCAGCACTAGCTGGTGCAAAACCTACACTCAGCTACTAATGCTGAAGAAAGGTTATTTGGACTTCTAACAAAACCTGAAAGCACGGTGTCCTGCCTCTCCCTGATGTCACACTAAATGCTGTTGCTGCGAGGAAGATTCTTCTCTTGTCTCTGGTGACCAGTGACAGGACCTGACAGAAAGGCATAAAGTTGTGTCAGGGGAGGTTTAGGCTGAATATTAGGAAAAGGTTCTTCCCCCAGAGGGTGGCTGGGCACTGGAACAGGCTCCCAGGGCAGTAGTCACAGCACCAGGCTGACAGAGCTCAGGAAGCATTTGGACAATGCTCTCAGGCACATGGTGTGACTGTTGGGATGGCCTGTGGAGGGCCAGGAGTTGGACTTTGATGATCCTTGTGGGTCCCTTCCAACTCAGGATATTCTATGGTTCTATGATGCACATTTCAGGGGTTCTAGATGGTCTGGCTGTACCCTGCTCACATCCTCTCCTGGCTGCTCCTCTGCTCCGCTCTGCTCTCCTCTCTCTACAGGGAGCCACAGAGAAACAACAGCCATGAGGGTCTATTGGGTGCCACACATCTCTTTTTTTTCCTCCATTGCAGGCCATCCTCATCAGTGAAATGGGAAAGGAGAGCATTTTGTACACCTGAGAGTCCTGGAGGTGGAAGGGGAAAAGACAAGTGAGGCAACAGGAAGGAAATCTGTCCCTACAGAAATAAGAGGAGCAGGAGACAAGTCCAAGGTTCTCCTCCACCATCTCATGCAATATTCATCCTTCATGAGGAAGTCCCCAAGGAGGTATGACTGGTAGGAGGAGAGAGCAAAGGGAAGGAGGCATCAGTGACAGGAGGGAGAAGGAACAATCTCTGCCACACACAGTTCACTGGACCTGTGCTGAGAAGGGTTAACGCTGTCATGCTGCTGGTGATGAGGAAACGTTTGTTATCACAGTGTGTCAGATTCAAGTGGCATCACCCATGACTTGCACGCAAGATTGCATAGGGGAGGGAAGCTGAGCGCAGGTCACGTTCACGGTTCAGCACAGCTCTGCAAAACAGCATATTTTATTTTTGCTAGGAGGGGAAACTCATGCTTTGCTGACACCACTTCCCCAGTAAAGTGATACTAAGCCATATTGGAAAATTTCCACACCGCTCTCTGACAAAGAAAAGCCAGTTGTGTGTCAGGACAAGAACAAAGTTATATGGCAAAACTCAGTGACCCTAGGAAGGAAAAAAGCCCTTCCATGAAGACATATGATGAACGTACGTGGATGTAAACCTGGGTTTTCCAAGGAATGTGGGCACTGGTTGGGGGTTACTACATTATCCATCTCCTGTTCTTATGAAAGCTGCTTCAATTGAGTGTCTTGGGGATCTCCTTCTCATGGCCAGGGCAACATGTTCAGCAGCTGTGGAGAGGCGGGAATGAGAGATGACAGGACACACAGGTGGTATGATCTGAGCTCATGTGCTTTGGAAACAAAGCTGAAATATCTACAATATTGGAGGGGTTTGCTGGTGTTATGCTTTGTGGCTCTGACACATTCCAGTATCATGGCAAAGAAAATTGTATTATATGCTCAGTCTAAGTTTGGACTGATGGAAAATAGAATCCGAATCCCCATTTCCTTTTCCAGACCCCTATCTTCTCAAGTTTGTTTCTTTCCTACCCAGCCCGCTGCTGTTTCCTATGTTATCTTCGGTCTTGTCTCTTTATCCTGGGCACGCACGAAGTGTTCCCGCTCAGGGCAGTCACTCGCACGCCGGGAGCAGCGGGGCTGGATCGCCCCAGCCGCACCGGCCTCGGGGGCGCGGTGCCGCCGCAGCCGCGGGACAGCGGCACAGCGCGGGGGCGCGCCTCCGCCCCGCGTGACGTCACAACCGAGCGCGCGCGCGGGCGTGCCGCGGGCCCCCGGCGCAGCCAATGGGAGCGCGGGGCGTGTCCCAGCGCAGCCAATGGGAGCGCGGGGCGTGTGGCGGCGGCGCGATGGCGGCGGGGCTGTGCTGGCGGGCCGGGCTGCGCGCGGGGAGGCGGAGACTGTGAGTGACGGGCGCGCGGGGCGGGGCGGGCGCGGGACCCCCGGCGCCGCCTCCGCTCCCCCCCGCCCTGCCCTGCCCCGTTGTGCGGGGGCGGCCGGGCCCGGGCCGCGGGGACGGGGCTCCGGCACGGGCAGCGTGGGGACGGCAGGCGGCTTCCTGCCCCCGGCAGGGGATGGGATAAGATGGTCTTTTCGGTCCCTCCCGACTGAAACTGTTCCGTGATTCCTCTGGTCCCGTCGTCCGCTTGTCCGCTTTGGTGCAGCTCCTGCCTGGAGGGTGACCTTGGGTCTTTCCCATTCTGCGCCCAGCCTTGGACCGAGCGGGCTCCTCAGGGCCACCGTGCCCCGTGTCCCGCGGGGGGCCGGGGACACGGCGGGCTGGACCCACGGCGCTGGCTTTCCCCGTGTTTTAACAGCATCCTGTGTCCTCTGCTCCATCCATGGCCCAGCGGCGTGATGTGGGCACAAGTGGGGCTGTCAGAGGGCCTCAGCATGCCTTGTCCTTGGGATATCCCCTGTGAGCCCGGGGGGCAGAGTCCCCGTGCTCCTGTGGTGGCAGTGCCTGGGTGAGGGAAGGTCGTGAAGCACCTTCCTAGTCCTCTTGTCAAGGGCCCGAAATCACCAGGTGCTTTCCCACAGGTGGGTGAATAGCTGTTAGGAACAGCAGGGATTTCGGGCAGGATGCCAGGAAAAGCTCTGCTTTAAACAGAGGATCGCCATGCAGGTCAGTGTTGCAGAATCGGGCTGCGAGTGACAAGTGCCACGGAAGACAAAGGCTCCTCTGCACCTTCCAGGATTCCTCCTGCACCTGTGCGCAGGTTTCACATCCAGCTTTCTGCCTGCAGGGGCGTGCCTGCCTCTTCCCGGTGGGCAGAGAGTGACTTCTGCCAGAAGGAGTGATTGATGGGTCTGTGCTCATTTAAGGAATGTTTTCAACAGCATTGCTAGAAGGAGAACACATTTTTTTTTTTAGTATTGATATTAGGAAGGCAATCAAGTGTTAATTCATTTTAATATCAATATTTAAAGCTTTAAATTCTCACATTCTCTGCTGAGACCATGGTTCTGTAAATATTTTATAGCTGAGTGACAAAAGCCTGTGTGGTCTGTAGAACTGTAATGTAGATGTTCCTGTGAACATGCAATATTGATGTTGGTGTTCTTGGGGAACCTCAGGGATGGCTGGAGTGCTTTCTGCTGTGCTAGAGGCACAGTGAAGAGCCCAGGAAGTCCATGTCAGTCGTTCCTGCCCAGAGTAATGTCCTGCCTAGCACCCAGGGTTATTTTTGCAGCATACTTTAACAGCCAGTTTCTTGGGAAGATACGTGCCTTTTTTCCCCTTGTTGTCACCCCCTTTCTCCCATATTAGTGCAGAATCGTAAATGCTACGCATTGCTATTTCTGGTCATGAAGAATATTGAATATTCATAGTGTGGGGGGAAGAGGAATCTACACAGAGTGAGGGCAGGGGTGATGACATTATGTGTGCACAGCACCTGTTCAGGGCTGGGAGAGGAGGCTGCCTGCATGCCCATGGTGAGGTGCTCTCTTCCAGCTGTGGCTCAGAAGGGGCTTCCTTGGTTGGTGCTGCCATGGGTCGGGACATGGCTGCCAGGCATCACAATACCCTTGCATGACTCCCAGAAGATGTGGTGGTCTCCCTGTGGTGGGATTTGACTGCTCCTTGTCATTAGTGCTGCTGTGGAGCCCAAGAGGCCACTGGGCAGGTAGAGACCACAGAATTTTGGGCATCCAAGCAGTCAGAGACCACAGCAGGATAGTCTGTGAAGGATAGTCTGAGAAGGAGGAGTCCTTGCTCACTTTTGAACTAGGCAGCCATGGGGCTGTGTGCACTTGGGAGAGAAAATACAGGGATGATTTCAAATGTCAACAATCAATGAACACATTGATTGGATTCAGTTAGCAACTTCCTGGTCTTTAGCAGGAATTGCCATGTGCCACTGGCTCCAGACTGTGGTTCTCGTGTCCCACAAGAGTTCTCTGCCATGCTGTTGTGTTTACACCTAATTACACCTCTGATGTGGTGCGGCTGCCTTTCCAGCTGCTGCCATCCTCTCTTCACGAGCATGCTGCTGCTGCTGTGAGGCTGGGGGAAGCAGTGCTGCCCAGAAAAGGTGGACCAAGTTATTTGTGTTATTACCAGGCAGGTACCCAGAGCTGGTTTTTCTTATTTGCCATGTTCCACAGCTTACTGGGCTCTCCCTGACTGTGAAAGATGTTTGTATTAAGTTAAAAAAACCCTTCATCCAGCTGTTTTTTAACAGCAAGTGCAGCTGGTTTTGCTGTTTTTCTCTCTTTGCTTGGTGATTATGCTGTGAGAGAAGAGCATTGCACATGTAAGCACAGTCACCAGGTTGCCCTCAGTAAACCAAGAGCCTCACCCATGTACAAGAGGGTTTTACTATATGTATTCATTTACATGGCATACTCCAGGCAGATCCATACCCACATGCCTGTACTAATTCAAAGGCAGCATCCACATCTCAGTGGAATGCTGCAGAGTATGGAATATTCAGTGTGGGCACTGTTGTATAGCCTGTTGTGCCAAAGGTGCAGACACCGGCATGCCTGCTAGGAACAAAGGAGCCTGACAAGTACTATCCCCGTGTCAGATCTTCAGAGACTGTGCCTATGTCATTTAAAATTTCTAGCATTGGGAGTTGCTTTTCTCATCACCAATTGCTGTCTTCCCTCCCAGGAGTCCACCACTCCTGTGTCTTGTGTTTTCAGGCTCCAAGTTTGTGTCTGCTTGGTAAATTAGTGAAGATGTTGTTTTTCATGTATTGGACACTGGAGGGTGCTAATGCAATGGGAGCTGAAATTGTTCTAGCAAATTAAAGGGTTCCCTTTTGTTAGTTGTGAAATAGTTTTATTCTTTGTTGCGGGGTTTAAACGGAAAGACATGAATTGTGGTCCTTAGCAGTAGCTGATCCTGTTCAGCGTGTGTAGAGCCATGACCGAGAATATCAATAAAGTGTTATGTCTGTGAGGGATTTCTTTCCTTAACCTCAATCAAAAAAAATCACTCATTTTATGTTCTACACGTTTTTAAGTGTGTCTTTCGAGATTATGGCCTCGGGGTGAAAATTATTTGAAAGTGTGACTTTCTAGTGATAAAAACACTTTATCTGGCAGAATTGTTGAGCCTCATGTGCAGAGTCTGTTTTTCTACAAGGTCACTTTGGTTCACCTAAATGAATATTGTTGTGTTGGTAGTGAGTTGAGAGCCTGATAGCAGCTCACACTGGGGAGGGCAGGGACACCCTGAGCACCACTAATCAAGTCCCTGGCACTGCAGTCCTGTCTCTGGGGATGGACCTGATGGAGCTTCAGTCTGCCTTGCAACCAGCATCACTGGGCTGTGTGTGAGGGCATTTCATTGCAGGGAATGTGTGTAGGATAGGGCATTACATCAGCCATCACTGCTAGGCCAGGTGAAGCACGTTACAAAACTGAGCTCTGGTGTTTCGAATTCACTCAAACATTTTTGTCAGGTTAAAGTTACATTGAGAGGTTGTACAGCAAAGGAGGAATTACCTGTTCACTCTGCCTTGGCTTTCTGCTCAGCCAGGTCTCTGCTCTCCTTTGCCCGTGGCAGAAAGACACGGGGCCAATACAAGGTCCCTGTTGTGCACTCTGGCAACTCCATAGTTGGCATTAAGGACTGTGAAACTACTGCCTGAGCCAATTTCCATCCTGGCAGCAGCAGAGGTATGATGATGGATAATTAATGCTAATGAGAAGCAGGGTGCAAACTGAGTGTGTCCAGCTAATCACCACTGGCACCTCGACTGGTCTTCTCAAGCTTATGCTGTTCTGGACAGTCTTGTGTGATCTTGTACCTGCCTTTGGAAAACCATTACCCAAATGAAACCCAGTATTTGGCTTTAAAATGTGTGAGCAAACAACTGGGGTACAAATACATCTTCCTTAGAAGCCTTTCTTGTTTGATATATGCATGGCAAATGAGTTACTCCTCTGTCTCATTCCTTTTACAAATAAATTGGGCTGTCCTGTCCTGGAAACTATTGTTATCTTGCTGTATTATATTGGTCAGGTTTTATTCTCTCCCAGGTGTTGAGGTTTGCTTACGTATGGTTCCATTTTTATTTCTTTTAAAAATATGCAGCTTTTTTCTGAATTCCTCCTTGAACTGAAGATGTGTATGAGCACTGGAAAAAGAGCCTGTGGATGAGGAAACCAGAATCTCCTGTTCTGATACCAGTGGGGGCCTGCTGTTCATCTTGCAACCAGAAGCAGGACAATTTCACAGCAGAGCTGCTTGGGTGTTTGTCAGAAGCAACAGAAATGTACCCAGTTAAAAGTCTGTACTTCTTTTGCCAAGAGTTTTAGTAACTTACCAGAATAGTGTTATAAGGGGCTGTGAGCAGAAAAGCTTTTTGAAACCATTGTAATAAGTAGTGGTACTGAAGACACTCTGCTTAAGAGTAGTCTAAGCACACAGATGAAGTCTAAGCAGACAAAAAGAGATCTGGTTGACAGTATTGCTCTGGTTTACCAACTTTCAGAGAAGACTGCTTCTTCCATCGTACCTCCATGCTTCCGAGCAGAGAGCCAGGGTATGCATCCTGGCATTGTTTCCAGAACCAACGTGCTGACTGTGGTGCCAAAAGGATTTGAATTTGTGCATTTTATGTAGATAGTGTCCTAACTTGGAGTGGGAGACCTTTCTCCAGGAGAGAAGGTTAATGGACCTCCCACCAAACCTGCGTGTGTGATTGTGTTGAGTTTAAACACTGCCAACTGCGGGATGGCATCTTGAGGTCCAATGCCACTCCTGCTTGGTGGCCCTGCATGGGAAAGGAGGGTGTGTGTTCCCTTGGTGGATGCTCAGTGCCTTCTATCTTTGAGCTGTTACATACTTGTGCAGTATTTCTTGGCTACTCATAAAGGCTGGCTGGGTGGGATCCCTGGAGTTTTCATGCCTGTTGGGGAGATTGGGCTACTGTACTTGAAGTT